ATAATACATAAGGGGGATATGATCTCCATGTATAATACATAAAGGGGGGATATGATCTCCATGTATAATACATAAGGGGGGATATGATCTCCATGTATAATACATAAGGGGGGATATGATCTCCATGTATAATACATAAGGGGGATATGATCTCCATGTATAATACACAAGGGGGGATATGATCTCCATGTATAATACATAAGGGGGGATATGATCTCCATGTATAATACATAAGGGGGGATATGATCTCCATGTATAATACATAAGGGGGGATATGATCTCCATGTATAATACATTAGGGGGGATATGATCTCCATGTATAATACATAAGGGGGGATATGATCTCCATGTATAATACATAAGGGGGGATATGATCACCATGTATAATACATAAGGGGGGATATGATCTCCATGTATAATACATAAGGGGGGATATGATCTCCATGTATAATACATAAGGGGGGATATGATTCTCCATGTATAATACATAAGGGGGGATATGATCTCCATGTATAATACATAAGGGGGGATATGATCTCCCATGTATAATACATAAGGGGGATATGATCTCCATGTATAATACATAAGGGGGATATGATCTCCATGTATAATACATAAGGGGGGATATGATCTCCATGTATAATACATAAGGGGGATATGATCTCCATGTATAATACATAAGGGGGGATATGATCTCCATGTATAATACATAAGGGGGGATATGATCACCATGTATAATACATAAGGGGGGATATGCTCTCCATGTATAATACATAAGGGGGGATATGATCTCCATGTATAATACATAAAGGGGGATATGATCACCATGTATAATACATAAGGGGGATATGATCACCATGTATAATACATAAGGGGGGATATGATCTCCACGTATAATACATAAATAGGGGATATGATATCCATGTATAATACATAAGGGGGGATATGATCTCCATGTATAATACATAAGGGGGGATATGATCATCATGTATAATACATAAGGGGGGATATGATCTCCATGTATAATACATAAGGGGGGATATGATCTCCATGTATAATACATAAGGGGGGATATGATCACCATGTATAATACATAAGGGGGGATATGATCTCCATGTATAATACATAAGAGGGGATAGATCACCATGTATAATACATAAGGGGGGATATGATCTCCATGTATAATACATAAGGGGGGGGATATGATCTCCATGTGTAATACATAAGGGGGATATGATCTCCATGTATAATACATAAGGGGGGATATGATCTCCATGTATAATACATAAGGGGGGATATGATCACCATGTATAATACATAAGGGGGATATGATCACCATGTATAATACATAAAGAGGGATATGATCTCCATGTATAATACATAAGGGGGATATGATCACCATGTATAATACATAAGGGGGATATGATCTCCATGTATAATACATAAGGGGGGATATGATCTCCATGTATAATACATAAAGGGGGGATATGATCTCCATGTATAATACATAAAGAGGGATATGATCTCCATGTATAATACATAAGGGGGATATGATCACCATGTATAATACATAAGGGGGATATGATCACCATGTATAATACATAAGGGGGGATATGATATCTCCATGTATAATACATAATAGGGGATATGATATCCATGTATAATACATAAGGGGGGATATGATCTCCATGTATAATACATAAGGGGGGATATGATCTCCATGTATAATACATAAGGGGAGATATGATCACCATGTATAATACATAAGGAGGGACATGATCTCCATGTATAATACATAAGGGGGGATATGATCACCATGTATAATACATAAGGGGGATATGATCTCCATGTATAATACATAAGGGGGGGGGGATATGATCTCCATGTGTAATACATAAGGGGGGATATGATCTCCATGTATAATACATAAGGGGGGATATGATCACCATGTATAATACATAAGGGGGGATATGATCACCATGTATAATACAATAAGGGGGATATGATCTCCATGTATAATACATAAGGGGGGGGGGGGGATATGATCTCCATGTGTAATACATAAGGGGGGATATGATCTCCATGTATAATACATAAGGGGGGATATGATCTCCATGTATAATACATAAGGGGGGATATGATCACCATGTATAATACATAAGGGGGATATGATCTCCATGTATAATACATAAGGGGGGATATGATCACCATGTATAATACATAAGGGGGATATGATCTCCATGTATAATACATAAGGGGGATATGATCTCAATGTATAATACATAAGGGGGGATATGATCTCCATGTATAATACATAGGGGGGGATATGATCTCCATGTATAATACATAAGGGGGGATATGATCTCCATGTATAATACATAAGGGGGGATATGATCTCCATGTATAATACATAAGGGGGGATATGATCTCCATATATTATAATACATAAGGGGGGATATGATCTCCATGTATAATACATAAGGGGGGGATATGATCTCCATGTATAATACATAAGGGGGGATATGATCTCCATGTATAATACATAAGGGGGATATGATCTCCATGTATAATACATAAGGGGGGGATATGATCACCATGTATAATACATAAGGGGGATATGATCTCCATTTGTATAATACATAAGGGGGATATGACCTCCATGAATAAATACGTCAGTGGTCATCACAGAGGACAAGGGGGCGCTCTTTGCGTCTGGAGGAAAAGAGATTTAATCTCTAAATATGGAAAGGCTTCTTCACAGTAAGAGCTGTGAAAATGTGGAATAGACTCCCTCAAGAGCTGGTTCTGGCCAGCTCAGGGGGATGTATTAAAAAAAAGTCCTGGATTCTTTCTTGGATTCACAGAATATAACTGGATACTAACATGTATAGGTAAAGTTGATCCAGGGAATATCCAATTGCCTCTCGGGGAATCAGGAAGGAATTTTTTCCCCTACTGTGGATAATTGGATCGTGCTTTGCTGGGGGGGTTTTTTTTTGCCTTCCTCTGGATCAACTGTGGGTATAGGATTGTGTATATGGGATTGTAAGTTTTTTTTTTCCCTTTTTATTGGTTGAACTGGATGGACTTTTTTCAACCAAACTAACCATGTAACTATATGTAGTCAGTAGAAATCAGGACACTTGGAGGGGAAACGCACATACCATCTTAAAGAACATAGATGCTGCATGCAGATAGGGCCCAGGTTGGAGCTTGGCCTGTGCAAAGCCACCTTGGCTGGGATGTGGTTGAGAGTGGAAGGAGTGTGCTGCTGGAAGAAATGATTGTCATACAAGGACATGGACAGCCATGGTGGTCAGTTGAAACCAGAACACTTGGAGGAAGAACATATAAACACCATGCAGATAGGAAGAACATATAAACACCATGCAGATAGGGCCCAGGTTGGAACGTGGCCAACAATTCTGCAAAAATTCTTGGCTGGGATGTGGTTTAGGAGGGAAGGAGTGTGGTGCTGGAAAAAAAACAGTGTAATGCATGGACGTAGACAGCTATGGTGGTCAGTAGAACCCAGAACACACATAATGTCCTAAATAACATACAAACTCCATGCCAATAGGGCCCAGGTTAGAGCTTGGCAGCAACTATGCAAAGCTCTCCTAGGGTGGGAAATGGTTGAGAGGGGAAGGAGTGTGGTGCTGGAAGAAAGGATTGTGATACATGGACATGGACAGCCATGGTGGTCAGTAGAAAACCAGAATACACGAAGGAAACATGCATACCATCTTGAAGAAAATATAAACACCATGCAGATAGAGCCCAGGTTGGAACTTGGCCATCAACGCTGCAAAGTCATTTTTGGCTGGGATGTGGTTGAGGGGGGGGAAGGAGTGCGGTGCTGGAACAAAGTAGTGTGATACAGCCATGGTGGTCAGTAGAAACCAGAAAACAATACCATCTTAAAGAACAGTGTAAAAACTCCATGCAGATAGGGCCCAGGGTGAGAGCTTGGCAACAACTCTGAAAAGCCTCATTGGCTAGGATGTAGTTGAGAGTGAAGGAAAGGAGTGTGATACATGGACAAGGACAGCCATGGTGTTCAGGAGAAACCAGAACACTTGAAGGAAACATGCATACCATCTTAAAGAACATACTGTATACACTTCATGTAGATAGGGTGAAGGTTTGAGCTTGGCCAACAATTCCGCAAAAAGTTGTGGCTGGGATGTGGTTGAGGTGGGGGAAGGACTGTGGTGCTGGAACAAAAGAGTGTAATACATGGTACATGGACAGCCACGGTGGTCAGTAGAAACCAGAATGCACATACCATCTTAAAGAACATAGTGTAAAAACTCCATGCAGATAGGGCCCAGGTGAGAGCTTGGCAACAACTGAGAAAAGCCTCATTGGCTCGGATGTAGTTGAGAGTGAAGGAATGGGGGGTGGTGGAAGAAAGGAGTGTGATACATGAACATGGACAGCCATGCTGGTCAGTAGAAACCAGAACACTTGAAGAAAACATGCATACCATCTTAAAGAACATACTGTATACACTTCATGTAGATAGGGTGAAGGTTTGAGCTTGGCCAACAATTCCGCAAAAAGTCGTGGCTGGGATGTGGTTGAGGTGGGGAAGGAGTGTGGTGCTGGAACAAAGGAGTGTAATACATGGACATGGGCAGCCATGGTGGCCAGTAGAAACCAGAACACACATACCATCTTAAAGAACATACAAACTCCATGCAGGTAGGACCCAGCTTGGAACTAACAATTCTGCAGAACCATCTTACAAAGTAGTTTACCATCAATTGCCCAACACTACCAAACAGCTACAAACTATAGGACTTAGGATTTTACAAGAATAGATTTTCCATCCTAAACCGAATGTTATCCAAAACAGTTGTTGGCTGCTGGAAGCGTTTTTTTGCCCCAACCTTCTTTGTTCAAAATTTGTCAATTTGTATACAACGATTGTGAGTAACATGTACTAATGACATTGATGATATAAAAATCTGTATAAACATCTAACTCTGCCATTTCTGCCAACAGTTCTGGTGGTGGGCGTATTGTCCCAGTATCCCGAGCAGCCACATGGATGTTCTCAAGGCAGCTGCTATCCGGCCACCGGGGACCTGCTTGTTGGCCGCGCTGACAAACTCAAGGCCACGTCAACCTGCGGGCTCCAGAGAGCGCAACCCTATTGTATCGTGAGTCATCTTCAGGTGAGTCAAGCCAAGAGGTTGTGCAAACAAAATGTGCAACAAATTAGTCAACCTCTATAGAGCCAAAAAATGAATGGAAACTGTTCAAAGGGAGATTTGTTGTTTATTCCAAATGTCTTCTTACTTTTTAGTTGCTATTGTTTGTCAGTGTCATTTTTACATTTTCACACATTTGCGGTGCTGTAATTTAAGATTTTAGTTGCAAGGGTCATTGCAAAGATAGTGAAAGCAGCACTTTTGCTGAACAAATACTACAATCACTTACAGAAAATAGCTTAATAAAATAAATATAAATACAAAAATAAAATAAGTACAGGCCACTATGCTGTATTCAATTAGTCTTTATGGGTTTGAGCTGGTTTGTGAGTTTGCAGTGTGATAACAGCAACGCCCAATCACTGTCCAAGACTGCAAAGCAGTAAATAGAGCCTGCATATGTATGGAGCAAATATGGCTGCCCCATTACATGTATCATTAACTACCTTTCATGTATTGAAACATAGGGTTGTATTCATAAGTAATTAATGTACTGTGTGTATTTTAATGCTTGCTAATGTTTTAAACACTATAGGATGTATTTATATGTAAAACTTTGCATAGCTGTTCGTCCATCAAAACTGGTGGTAAAATCGGTCATGTGTGAATGGGGAAAAAAATCAAATGTTCTCCAGCTATATTCACTGGAATTCGAATGTGTGACTGCAGAAAATACCACTTTATGACCACTAGTTGGAGCCAAGGAGCATACATGTTTCCTGTGATTGTCATCACCATCTAGTGGCCATAATGCAGTATTTTCTGAATTCAGACGTGTCCGATTTTTTTTTTTCAGCACACACCAAAGCAACACAATGGTGTGCCTTAAATCCGAAAGACATTGTTCTTGTTTTGGGAAATGCTGCTGGTGTGAATGAGCCTTATTCCGCCAGCCATATCCAACCCGCTACAAGATTTTATCCAGCTCGCAGCTGATGTGCGCAGACTGAGGATCCAGATCAGCTAGTCTCCACTGATGAGACCCTGATAAAAGAGCAATGCGGATGAGTATTCAGATGTAAAGGGGCTTTGATGGAGACCCTAATGTAAGGGGGGACACTGATGGGGAGAGTTTTCTAAAAGGGGACTCCGATGGGGATTCTGATGTGAGGAGAGGCTCTGATGGGGACTTGACATGAGGGGGGGGACTTTTATGAGGATGATAATGTATGGGGGGACCCTGGTGGCAACCCTGATGGAAAGTGGGACTTTGATGGGGACCTTGATGTAAGGGGGAGGCTTTGATGGACACCCTGATGTAAGAGGAGAGCTCTGATGGGGCACTGATATAAGGAGGTGGGACTCTGATGTAAAGGCAAACTTTGATAGGGACTGTGATATAAGGGGGGACCCTGTTGAGGACTCTGATATAAGGAGGCACTTTGATGGAAACTGTAATGTAAGGGGAATCCTGATGTAAGGAGGGACACTGTTGAGGATGCTGATTTAAGGGGGAAACCTGAAGGGAACATGGATCTAAAAGGGGACTCTGAAGGGGACCCTGATGTAAGGAGGTGCTCTGTCGGGTGCTTCACATTGGACTTGACTTGACGTGAAGGGGGATCCTCATGGGGACACTAATGCAAGGGGCACTCTGATGGGGATGCTGATGTAAGGGGGAACTCTGATGGGGACCCTGATGCAAGGAGAGGCTCTGTTGGGGACTTGATGTAAGGTGGGACCCCCATAAGGACACTAATGTAAGGGGGAATTCTGATAGGGACCATGATGTAAGGGGATTTCGGATGGGGACCCTGATGTAAGGTGACAGAGGCTCTGATGTAAGGAGGAACACTAATGTAAGGAGGATCCCAAAACTTATGTAAGAGGATCTCTGATGGGGACCCTGATGTAAGGAGAGGCTCTGTTGGGGAATTCACACAAGGGGGAACCCCTATGGGAACATTAATGCAAAGGGGACTCTGATGGGTACGCTGATGTAAGGGGGAACTCTGATAGGGACCCTGATGTAAGGAGAGGCTCTGTTGTGGACTTGACGTAAGGGGGGACCCTCATGGGTACACTAGTGTAGGGGGGACGCTAATGGGGAAACTGATGTAAGCAGGGACTCTGACAGAGGCTCTAACGTAAGGGGGGAAATTTACTTTGTTTTACCTTATTTCTCCTTTTCTCTGAATCTTATCGTGAGGATTCCAAAGAAGACCCAAATAAACTATATTAATTCATTTATTATTCCTTGATTTACAAAACTGATTCTTTTTGTCCAGCAAATATTTGTAAAATGTACGATGTGGCCATGAAAAGTTTGGAGACCCCGGAATAGCCCAGCATAGAGCAGCTTCTTGGAAAGTCCTCACTTCCTCTTATTTTTAGATGTTGCACTTAGTCCTCGCCACCCTTCACGTTCCCTTTCTCGTCTTGTCCCTCATCCCCGGGGACCTCCGATCCCTCTTCCTCTGGATTCATCCCTCCTCAGACCAGCTAGACATTTTCTGAAAGCAGCAACAACAACAAAAAAACCCACAACACTGGATTTGGCCTTTCACCCATCAAAGCAGCACTGACACGGCCAAATTCCCCGATTAGAGAAAAAAGAAAATAAAGGGAAAAAATAGCCGTCTAATCCACCAAACAAAAGCGGGAGCAAAATTCCCCTGTAATGAACTGCCAATTAGGAAACAGACATTAACCCTTTACAAATAAAAGTGGAGACATGCTGGTCCTACAATGTACAATGGGAGCCATACTAACAAAGCTCTGGTCTTTATTCTGTATAATAGTACATTTATTTTTTTGTAGTTTTGGATAGAGTAGGCAAGGGTTTTATTGTAGTGTTCACCCCTCCTGTAGTTTTCTGTCTGTAGTGGGTGGAGTCTGTTGGGCTCCTCCCACAGGTCTACTTTCTGCACAGCCGATGTACAGCATGGTCACTGCAATTTTACAAGGTAATATCTGGGTTTGCAAAATATTTGGTACATATATTATTTATTTCTTTCAGGCACTTATATAGTGCCGTCAATTTACGCAGCGCTTTACATATATATTGTACATTCACATCAGTCCCTAATTGTACATCTAAGGTCCCACATCAGTCCCTAACCCTCAAGGGGGCTAAGGTCCCTACCCTCAATCTAAGGTCCCTAACCCTCAAGGGGCGCCAATCGAAGGTCCCCAACCCTCAAGGGGCGTACAATCAAAGGTCCCTAACCCTCAAGGGGGGTCCAATCTAAGGTCCCTAACCCTCAAGGGGGCACAATCGTCCTAACCCTCAATTGAAGGTCCCTAACCCTCAAGGGGCGCACAATCGAAGGTCCCTAACCCTCAAGGGGGGCTAAGGTCACTAACCCTCAAGGGGGGTCCAATCTAAGGTCCCTAACCCTCAAGGGGCGTCCAATCTAAGGTCCCTAACCCTCAAAGGGGGGAAAAATCTAAGGTCCCTAACCCTCAAGAGGTGTACAATCTAAGGTCCCTAACCCTCAAGGGGGGTACAATCTAAGGTCCCTAACCCTCAAGGGGGGTACAATCTAAGGTCCCTAACCCTCAAGGGGGGTCCAATCTAAGGTCCCTAACCCTCAAGGGGGGTCCAATCTAAGGTCCCTAACCCTCAAGGGGGGTCCAATCTAAGGTCCCTAAACCCTCAAGGGGCGTACAATCTAAGGTCCCTAACCCTCAAGGGGCGTACAATCTAAGGTCCCTAACCCTCAAGGGGGGTGTACAATCTAAGGTCCCTAACCCTCAAGGGGCGTACAATCTAAGGTCCCTAACCCCTAACTAAGGTCCCACAGGGGTGTACATATATCACATTCATATATATACTAGGGCCAATTTAGACAGGAGCCAATTAACCTACCAGCATGTCTTTGGATTGTGGGAGGAAACCGGAGTACCCAGAGGAAACCCACGCAGGCACAGGGAGAACATGAAAACACCAGGCAGGTGGTTCTGTGGTTGGGATTCAATCCAAAAGCCCTAGTACTGCCAGGCTGAAGTGGTGCTATGCCAGGCTCCAGGCAGGTGGGTGGTGCTATGGTTGGGATTTATATATATATATATCCTTTGAATACATTTAAAGTCTTAGTTCACCTGTAAAGAAATGGTGAACTAACGCCATACACCCCTTGCTGTCCCTACCTCCAGCAAAGCTGAGCTGTCAGTGGCCATGGAGCTGGCCCAGCCATTGGAAATGCTTGCTCTTTTCCCTTAACATAGCTTCTGGGATGGACCAGAGTAATTCACTGTGCTGGCGCTGACCAATCACAAGGAAGACATGCAAACTCCATGCAGATATTGACCTGAGTGGTATTTGAACCAGGAACCCCAGTGTTGATAGGTAGATGTGCTAACCACTAAGCCACTGTGCTTGTACCAGCAGATGGCAATGGGTGTGGCTAGCTTGATTGCCTAGAAAACAAAGAAAAGAAAACGTGATAAATGTAAGGTTCTGTACTTGGGGCTAAGAATATGCATGCATCATACATACTGGGGGGGGTACAACTGGGGGAATCAATGGTGGAGAAGGATCTGGGGGGGGTCAATGGTGGAGAAGGATCTGGGGGGCGTCAATGGTGGAGAAGGATCTGGGGGGGTCAATGGTGGAGAAAGATCTGGGGGGGTCAATGGTGGAGAAAGATCTGGGGGGGTCAATGGTGGAGAAAGATCTGGGGGGGTCAATTGTGGAGAAGGATCTGGGGGTTCTGGTAGATCACAAGCTTAATAATGACAGCAATGCCAAGCTGTGGTTTCTAAAGCGAGCAAAATCCTCTCTTGTATTAGGAGAGGTATAGACTCCAGAGAGAGAGATATCATTCCCCCCCCCCCCCCCCCGGTACCAATCATTAGTAGGACCTCATCTGGAATATGCAGTTCAGTTTTGGTCACCAATTCACAAAAAGAACATTGGGGAACTGGAGAAAGTACAGAGAAGGGCAACCAAACTGATAAAAGGCATGGAGGATATCAGCTATGAGGAAAGATTAGAGGAACTGAATTTATTCTCTCTTGAGAAGAGGAGATTAAGGGGGGATATGATCTCCATGTATAATACATAGGGGGGGGGGGGGTCCATGATCTCCATGTATCTCCAATACATAAGGGGGGGATATGATCTCCATGTATAATACATAAGGGGGGGTATGATCTCCATGTATAATACATAAGGGGGGGGTATGATCTCCATGTATAATACATAAGGGGGGATATGATCTCCATGTATAATACATAAGGGGGATATGATCACCATGTATAATACATAAGGGGGGGATATGATCTCCATGTATAATACATAAGGGGGGATATGATCTCCATGTATAATACATAAGGGGGGGATATGATACTCCATGTATAATACATAAGGGGGGATATGATCACCATGTATAATACATAAGGGGGGATATGATCACCATGTATAATACATAAGGGGGGGATATGATCTCCATGTATAATACATAAGGGGGGGATATGATCTCCATGTATAATACATAAGGGGGGATATGATCTCCATGTATAATACATAAGGGGGGATATGATCTCCATGTATAATACATAAGGGGGGATATGATCTCCATGTATAATACATAAGGGGGATATGATCTCCATGTATAATACATAAGGGGGGGATATGATCTCCATGTATAATACATAAGGGGGATATGATCACCATGTATAATACATAAGGGGGGGATATGATCTCCATGTATAATACATAAGGGGGGATATGATCTCCATGTATAATACATCCAGGGGGGGATATGATCTCCATGTATAATACATAAGGGGGGATATGATCACCATGTATAATACATAAGGGGGGATATGATCCATGTATAATACATAAGGGGGGATATGATCTCCATGTATAATACATAAGGGGGGATATGATCACCATGTATAATACATAAGGGGGGATATGATCACCATGTATAATACATAAGGGGGGATATGATCTCCATGTATAATACATAAGGGGGATATGATCTCCATGTATAATACATAAGGGGGGATATGATCTCCATGTATAATACATAAGGGGGGGGATATGATCTCCATGTATAATACATAAGGGGGATATGATCTCCATGTATAATACATAAGGGGGATATGATCTCCATGTATAATACATAAGGGGGGATATGATCTCCATGTATAATACATAAGGGGGGATATGATCTCCATGTATAATACATAAGGGGGATATGATCTCCATGTATAATACATAAGGGGGATATGATCTCCATGTATAATACATAAGGGGGATATGATCTCCATGTATAATACATAAGGGGGATATGATCTCCATGTATAATACATAAGGGGGGGATATGATCTCCATGTAGAATACATAAGGGGGGATATGATCGCCATGTATAATACATAAGGGGGGGATATGATCTCCATGTATAATACATAAGGGGGGGATATGATCACCATGTAGAATACATAAGGGGGGATATGATCTCCATGTATAATACATAAGGGGGGATATGATCTCCATGTATAATACATAAGGGGGGATATGATCTCCATGTATAATACATAAGGGGGGATATGATCTCCATGTATAATACATAAGGGGGATATGATCTCCATGTATAATACATAAGGGGGGATATGATCTCCATGTATAATACATAAGGGGGGATATGATCTCCATGTATAATACATAAGGGGGATATGATCTCCATGTATAATACATAAGGGGGATATGATCTCCATGTATAATACATAAGGGGGGGATATGATCTCCATGTATAATACATAAGGGGGGATATGATCTCCATGTATAATACATAAGGGGGGATATGATCTCCATGTATAATACATAAGGGGGGATATGATTTCCATGTATAATACATAAGGGGGATATGATCTCCATGTATAATACATAAGGGGGATATGATCTCCATGTATAAATACATCAGTGGTTCAAATAGAGAACTCGGTGTAGAGCTATCCCCCCTGAGGTCATCACAGAGGACAAGGGGGCGCTCTTTACGTCTGGAGGAAAAGAAATTTAATCTCCAAACACGGAAAGGTTTCTTCACAGTAAGAGCTGTGAGAATGTGGAATAGACTCCCTTAAGAGTTGGTTCTGGCCAGCTCAGTGGATTGCTGTAGGAAAGTCCTGGATTCTTTCTTGGATACACAGAATATAACTGGATATAACATTTATAGGTAAAGTTGATCCAGGGAATATCCAATTGCCTCTCGGGGGATCAGGAAGGAATTTTTTTCCCAGCAGGAGCAAATTGGATCGTACTTTGCTGATTTTTTTGCCTTCCTCTGGATCATCTGTGGGTGTAGGATTATAACTCTTTTTTTTTTTAATGTTTTTTTGGATGACTTTTCAGCCAGACTAACTATGTAACCCTTTCAATAAAGCTGAGCCTCTTTCAGTATCTTTTTCTAGCGATTGTGTAGAATTGTGATCGGTGCTTGTTTTCTGTCCACCAGGACGAGAAAAAGTGTTTTGTGTGTGACTCCAGAAGGCCTTATAACCGACTCACCAACCCCATCAGTCACCGTATTGAAAATGTCATTACCACGTTCGCAGAAGATCGTAAGAAAGCCTGGTGGCAGTCGGAGAACGGTAATATCATTTATGAACATTTTCATGAGATACTTGGGAAATGCGGCAGATCTGATATTTCTACTCATAATACGGTTTTCTCTAGTCTAGTAATTATGTGTTTGATAATGTAGGATGTTCAGTAGAGATAGTTAAAAATTTTATGGCTTTTGTAGATGGGCATCTTGTTGTTGCAGGACAATAAAATCATCTATTCTGTTCTCCTGCCGAGAATGATATAAACATCAAGACAAAAAAAAAATATTTATATGTATATAAAAGTCCCCAACCTCCTCAGTACCCCACAAACTGCTGCAGAACCTCCAGCCCTCCATAGGGCCTCCAGACTCCAACAGGGTCCCTCAGGTCAGTCCATGGCCTCCTCCCCAACCTGGCCTTATTATTATAACATCAAGTACACAAAAGTATCAAATACAGTATATAGCAATGTAATCCGTTATAGAATAAGTCCATCCCTTCTGCATATAATGTGTTGCCGTCAGAATTTCCTCTTCACCATTGTGCAGTGTGCAGCTTGCCAGATTCAACGACCTCAACAGTCTACAGTAAAGAGATCAAGAAGCACTTTTTGCAAATCACCCAGAATAAAGTGAATTATATTCCCACAAAGATGTTTTGGAGATTACCATCCTTTAGATTTTTCAGTGGTATATCCTGGGCACTTCTCAGTCTCAGACATCAATGGAAAGAACAAAGAGAGAACAGAAAACTCTGATTACGTAAATCATTAGCGTCTAGACCTTCTCTAATGACCAACCTTCAACTGGCTCTATGTTAGTGATATTATTCTGCATGATCAGAGGTATGAAATGGAGAAGTCCCCAGGAGGTGCATCTGAGGAATCCTAAGGAGGGTGGTTATATTCGCACAAGGATCTTTTAAATACAAGGTTTTCAAACACTGGGCCATGGCCTGCTGCTGGTCCGTGGCCTCCCTCTCCATGGCCCTCAACTTCCCACAGTGCCCCCCAGTCTGCTGCAGAGCCTCCATCTCTCTATAGTGCTTCCAAACTCCAACAGGGTCCCTCAGTGCCATTCAGTCTTCCACAGTGCTCCCCTGTCCCCTCCAGAAAATGCATCCCCAACAGGGCTACCAAGCCTACTGCAGAGTTCCCTAACCCCCTCCACAACCTCTCTTCCCCCACAGAAACACTCAGTCCCTCAATGCCCCCCAATCTCCCATGGCCTTTCCAGTCTGTGGCCTTCCCCCTCCTGGCCTCCAGTCAACTGCAGATCCCTTAGCCTTCCACAGTGCCTTCCAGCTCCTATAGTGCTCCCCAACCTCCCATAATGGTCCCCTGAGAGCCCTCAACCTCCACAGTGACCCCCAATCTGCTGCAGAGCCTCCAGCCCTCCATAATGCATCCAAACTCCAACAGGGTCCCTCAGGTCAGTCCGTGGCTTTCCCCTAACCTGGCCTTCAGCCAACTGCAGATCCCTTAACCTCCCACAGTGCCTTCCAGCTCTTATAGTGCCCCCTCCCCAACCTCCCATAATGGTCCCTAGACTCCCTAAAAGCCCCCAACCTCCTCAGTACCCCCCAAACTGCTGCAGAACCTCCAGCCCTCCATAGGGCCTCCAGACTCCAACAGGGTCCCTCAGGTCAGTCCATGCCTCCTCCCCAACCTGGCCTTCAGCCAACTGCAGATCCCTTAAACTCCCACAGTGCCTTCCAACTTCTATAGTGCCCCCCCCCAACCTCCCATAATGGTCCCTAGACCCCCTGAGAGCCCTCAACCTCCACAGTGCCCCCCAACTTCCCACAGTGACCCCCAGCCACTCGCCAGGCCTATTTCACAGCAGTAGCTGCTGTTTTGCTTGTAGCTTGCCACCTGCTGGCTTCAAAGGGTGAATATGACATAATTATATAAAGTATTTTTATATTTTGCTGTTGAATTAGAAGTGTAATTAGGTCCCAAAAATAATAAAGAATGTATAAATATAACTATGTATAAAGCCCACATATGTACTTGTATAAAGAACAAATGAAAAACATAAAATACCCTCTTTAAGCTCCAGACTGGCGAGCCCATATAACACACAAAGAACATGTTAACACAAATTATTGGTCGTAAAATAAGCCACACGAAGGCCCTCTGTGTCTGTCTGAGACGTAACCAATAAAAATTTTGTTGAGGCAAGTTTGCAAAAGGCCCCAGGCGCCACGGAAGGTAAATCCAGCTTGGGATTTGTTCACCTCTTTCCTTCCTCTGCCTCATTAAAGCGAGTTAATTTAATTACATATATTCCCCTTTTGGATTAGTTCTGTAACATAGGAAAAAATAAAAAAAAGTATACACAGCCTTTGAGGATTTCACAGGCTAATCCCGAAAGCTATTTTATCTGGAGTCTTATTAAAATTCTTTTCGTATCTTATTCCGAACAGTTTTTATCTCCCAGAAGCAGGGCAGGATGGGACAATGAGAATTGTGGAAGACAGCATTTTCCTCCGTCCTCAGGAAATTCTGACTCATTTCTCTAATATTCACACGCAGGAGAAAAACATATTTGTTGGCTGTTTTTTTTTTTGGACAGCTTTAAAAAATAATTTGTCTTTAGGAACAAAAAAAAGGTTTTGCCAAACTTTGTTTTGTTTAAAGTTATTTTTTGCTAATTTTTGCTTCCGGTTTAAGGCCTCTCCAGTATTCTTGAATTATATTGGTATTATCAGCTTTATGCAAGTATGGCCAATTAGCATTGCCCGGCATGGGCCATTTAGGGGCTAATGAGATAATGAGGGTTTCCAAGTATCGAAAGTGCTTGCTTGTTGCTGCATCTTGAGATTTTACAACAAAATGGGAAAGTAAGTTGTTTTTCCTTTCTATGGAGTGGAGGAACGGAGCCTTTCATTGGAACTGAAGAGAAGTTTGGGGGGTGCTCTAGATTACATTTAGGAAAGTACACCTATATTTAAAGGGGCAATTTATGGGTCTCGTTTAACTAAGGACATGCTGTGACCCAGCTACTAGGGGCCCACAGACTACCCTTTAGTTCAACATTTGAATGACCTACAGAATTATGGTACTTTATGGTACTTTTTACATAAAGTACCATAATTCTGTAGGTCATTCAAATGTTGAACTAAAGGGTAGTTTGTGGGCCCCTAGTAGCTGGGTCACAGCATGTCCTTAGTTACACGAGTCCCATAAATTGCCCCTTTAAATATAGGTATACTTTCCTAAATGTAATCTAGAGCACCCCCCAAACTTCTGTTCAGTTCCAATGAAAGGCTCCTTTCCTCCTCTCCATAGAAAGAAAAAACAACTTACTTTCCCATTAAAACCATGAAGCCATCACTGCCCCCAGGGGTTCCTGGGATTTCCTGGAGGAGATCAGTAACCATTCATTTCTGGAGGATTCTGGATTCAGGAGATAACATGTATATAGTTTTCCCCAAGAGGAATACAAGACTTCTTGTGGGTAAACATGAATCTAGTGCTGCCCCAAAGGATTCTAAAACTGGCCTTGCATGGAGCAATATTCGGCCAGATTCCGAATGCACTGGTCAAAACTCACTCAGTGCGTGGCTCTGTTGGCTGCATCTTGTCTAACATCCTTTGACTGAAAAATTGAAGGAGCTAGGCAGAAAATTGTTGGTCCAATAGAAACTGCATCCAATCAGATACAGGCACTGTTTTGGTTTTTTTGACAGGTGGCGTAGCTAGCTATCAAAATACAATAGCCATAGTTGGAGATTCATCCATCCGCATTATAGTGTGGATGGAGGAATAGGATAAAATTGGTTAGAAAATGCCTATATGTGTATGGCCAGCTTAAGACTTCCCATGAGAAAACAGGAAACCAGAACTGCCCCAGAGGATTCTAGAATATCCCATGAGGAAAAAAGGAAGGCAGTACTGCCCTAAAGATTCCAGGACTTTCCATGAGGGAGCAGGAAGCCAGTAATGTCCTCCAGAGGATTCTAGGAGTTTCCATAAGAAACGTAAAGCTGGTATTGCCCCAGAAGATCATGATAGTTTCCATGAGTTCCACGAGAACATTTGAAGGCAATCCAAAACTTGTCCTATCAGGAGAGGAGGGTTGCTGTGGTGCCATATTGTTCCAAAATCATGGTCTTCGTTTCTCCTATCAGGCCATAGGCCTTGCCAACTGCACCTTTTAAAAGAGGAAGCAAAAAACGTTGTACATATGGCTGTAGACATATGTATATGGCCACAACTTGGGTGTTAATAGAGAGAGGGGTTTATGCTTTGCCATGATGCTCAAAAATAATGGCCCCAGGTTCTCCTACCAGGTTATAGTTCTTGACAAGTGTACCCCGCAAAAGAGATCTGTGCTACACCTCCATCGTCTCCTCTTTACTTCCAGATCCCAGATCCCAAATCTCTCTTTCTACTGCTCTTCCCAAACTATATCAGGGCCTCTCCCTTATCTTCATACTGAAGAGGTGGGTAAATCCTACCAAGGATAGGAACCCCCAGTGTATCCAAGTAAATATTTCAGAAGATCCTAGGACCTCATGTAAGGAACAAAGTATCCAGTAATACCCCAGAAGATTCTGGGACCTCTTGTAAGGAACAATGTATCCAGTATTACCTGAGAGGATTTTGGAACTTTTTGCCAGAACAAATGAATCCGGGGGCCTCTCCCTTACCTCCATACTAAAGGGGTTGGTAAATCCTATCAAGGGTAGGAACCCCCAGTGTATCCAAATAAATACTTCAGAAGATCCTGGGACCTCTTGTAAGGAACAATGTATCCAGTAATATCTGAGAGGATTTTAGAACTTCCTGCAAGAAACAATGAATCCGGTAATACTACAGAAGATTCTAGGACTTCATGTAAGGAAAAAAGTATCCAGTAATACCCCAGAAGATCCTGGGACCTCCTGTAAGGAACAATGTATCCAATAACACCTCAGAAGATTTTAGAACTTCTTGGCAGAAACAACGAATCCGGTAATACTACAGAAGATCCTAGGACCTCATGTAAGGAACAAAGTATCCAGCAATACCCTTGAAGATCCTAGGACCTCTTGTA